ATTTGGTTATTTCCAAGAAAACGGTATATTGAATATAATATTTGGTAGAAATCATTTACAACTTTGTGTGGTTGATTTTCTTTAAATGTATTCTAGAAATTTTCACATTTTTTTAGCTTGAGCTTAATTAGTACTTATGGTTGCTGCTTTAGGGTAGGTAATAAAGTGAGTTTTTAGTAAGATAGTGCTTAGTATAAAATAATTATTTTTTTCTAAATTTGATCAAAAGATATCTATGAACAAGCAAACTATGATTTAAATTAATGGTTTTGGGATTTTCTTCGAAACCATTATGGGAATAAAATGCTTAACTGAGCATTTACTCAGTGAGTTAAATACTGTGCTTTAAGGTAAGTAGCTTTAAAATGATGCGCTATAAGGCAAAATATGGCACTTTTTTATATTAATAGCTTATAATGAAATTGATAATTTATGCCTGGGCTTAAATCTTCCTACGCATAATTTTAACTTGTTTTCAGTCAAAAACTGACCTGGTTGTTCGGAAACCATCGTAATAAGGTAGTTAATCTAGAAAAAGAAACTTGTCTCTATATTAGACATCTCCTTAGAAAATATACAAGAATTTGACTGTACAATACGTGGTCATGTAGGTGGTCAAGGAAGACATATCTACAGACGAACGGACGCCCTGAAATGGTTGAGCACACAATGCCAACCCTCTATTAACACAGTCTATTCATTAGTCTTGCCTTGTTTAGCATAACCCGTTACCGTACGCCTTGTTTAACATAGTGTGAATAACTTTATGTTTTTTTAAATCACGCGACGAATTTTTTGAAGCCATTTTTATAGTAATAAGAATACGCAACATGCACATGCTTTTGAGTTTTTATCTCAAAATTATTAGCCCTCATATATCTGTCTACATAGTCAGTGTTTCCATATTGTCATTATTTGCTACTGCATCTTTTCGGTTGTGCAAAATTAATGTAAAAAACATGCAATCTATATATATATATAATATCTAATTCCGTAAGCCCAAAATTTAACAATGAAATTGTGAGCGAACGGGAGGCCGTAGAAAGCTGGGAGGGGTCTCATTTTAAAGGTCTGGGCAAGAAGTTTTGGGGGAAATTATTAATTTTTCTTGATTACGCACCAAAAGGTTGTTATGGAATAAAATAATTCACATTTAAATAACATGGGAATCTAGGTCATGTTTGTCATGCTTTGTTTACTTTAAAACATGTGGTTTAACTTAATTTAAAGCAAAACGGTAGTATTTAATATGCACTGTAATATGTATACTAACCCTGAAGAGAGGTTGAACATACTAGTTGACTATATAAATTCAATTTCACGATCTGTAATGCCACCATACAAATTAGTTTTAAAATGTGGTTCAATAGTGATGATGCTCATTAGAAATATGAAGCTAGGGTCTGGGTTAGTTAATGGAGTACGATTGGTTGTGTTAGTAATGTCTGCAAAAAGTGTAAAGTTAGTAGTAATTACTGAAGTAGGCAAAGAGAACACATTTTTCATGCCAAAAATAAAACTAATATCTACAGATCCTAATATGCCGTTGTAATATGGACAAGTTTACAAGGAAAGTTTTCACAATAATTGGTATTTATTTGAAAAATTATCTCCATGTGGTTTATTTAAGTGAATTTGTCTGTATTCAAAGAAATTTGTATAAATTTAATTAATAGTCATGAAGATTATTATTTAAAGTTTTCCTTAGTTGTATTATGATTAGAAAGTTTGTATTATAAACACGCCAAATGAAAAGTCCTTTGAAATTTTTATTTTAAATAGAGCAGACATCAAAATGCATTATGCAGGTATGTAATAACTATTATACATATTATAATATACAAAAAATGTTAAACGACAATGAAGGTAAAGTAACCTATGAGACGAATAATTTGTACAAAATAAATACTAGAATATAGTGGCTATTGCCCCTACAAGCCACTAGTCGTTTAAACAACTATTTTAATCCTTAATATCCTTAATTTTAATATTTTAATATGCCTGCATATTTTAATCCTTAATTGATGTCCGTCCTTAATTTTGATGTATTGGCAAGAAAGCGGATTGGTTCTTAACAGGCGCAATATTAAGGTCATTCAACTAATACAAAATGATTAATTGAATAAAAGATTGTTAAAGTAGTAAAAAAACGTACACAGACTTCTCAGGTATGTATGAGTGGTAAATCTACGCGCATATACCGACGCATAAAATGACTCGACTCATTCATGTCAATGTGTTTCACACTTTGTAATGATACGAAAGTAAATTGTGGTTCCTCATGTCTGTTAAGTGTACTACGTTAAAAATCTTCAATGGGGATTTTTTCGCCTCCTTGAATGCTATGAAAAAACTGAAATAAGTTAGGGCCTACCAATACGGAAAATCCATTTAGGCTACAATCAACCATTGCTAAGAGATGTTTTTTATACATCATGATTTATATTGGAAACGCCTATGACTAAAATAACTTTAATATGTGAGGGAAATGTATCTTAATTGTATAAAATGGTATAGCTTCTGTAATATTTACAGGCATTAATCTTTCCCTTTCTACGACTCATTATTTACTATTCTAAATCCTCTAAGCAATTGTGTTACTACGCCTAAACATTTGACAAACATTAACAATAATCAATATCATGATGTCATAAGGCTGTGTAATTATTATCGCATCGTTTGTGATCGTTCCTTATTACTCAGCCCCTTGCCTCCCTTAGCGAAGAATAATTAATAATAATTGCCGGCATTACAGCTTTAGCGCTGTAGCTTTAGCTCCCTAGTTCCGCAACCGTTACCAACCCTAATACCATAAGGATAGAAAATAATATTAACTGTTAAAACTATATAAAATTTTCGACTTAAATTAAAGTCTAGGTAATGCATTTTCGATTTAAGATATATTTTAGATAAAATATTTTTGGCTTTTATCCACCTGGTTGCTGAACTTTAAACAATAACTTTTTAGGATGTGCTTTTTACAGCACTACTACTACAACACTATCTATAGATATTTTAGTAAATAATAGTTTCTTAGTGGAGACTGTTTATTTTGGCTCCAATTTGTTTTATATAAAGTCCCAGGTAATGTTTAAGAGAGAACATTTTATATTGCGTATTTCAGTTTAGAGCTTTAAGTTTTTAGTTAAGAGTAGCTTTTGTCGGTTAGATGACTTGCGTCTCTTTATTGAAACTCTTTGAAAAGTTTTCTATCCAAGCTAGAACCTTTTGTTCTAACGCAAAGCTGTGGGGAGCGAGCTGGTCTAGTGATTAGAGCGCGGGACTTCGGTCTAAGAGATCCCGGGTTCAAATCTCACCAAATCACCAATGGATTTTATTTAAGTGATAATGCCGCAACCCCTAGGTCTAGCCTGAAGTAATGTGCAAAACAATCCCGGGCTTTGCAAAGCTGTCCAATATGTATGTTTTAAAGAATAATTTGAAAGCTAAAAGCCTTAAATTAATTGAAGAGTGAAATTAAACTTTGTTTGGGTAAATATTTCGACAACAATATATGTTTAAACCTTTTCTGCTAACTTTCATCCGAAACTCAAAAATAATCATTTAACTAAAAAATCTGTGTAGTCAGGAATTACGAGTTTCACTCTTTCAAGCTTAACTCCTTGTTTACAACCGTAACTATCAGTGCCAACCTTTTTCTCAATCCAAAATCATACCTTGCAGGTTCTTTTATGCTGCAAACCTTCAGGAACAAAGGCAAAGCAAAAAATAACATCAGTGTGGCAGAGAGTTTAATTTTTACTCCTGCGGGTCGCGGCTCGGCTTGAGTGATGATCTACCTAATCACCTTGTCCACGACCAGTCGCCACCTGCGTCGACATTATCTGAAATACAAACCTACCCTTAAAACTCTGCATATTTACAGCCATTTGGCAATATCTATCGGTAGTCATTGTAATACTATTGTATTTTAATATTCTTCTTTGTAAATTGTTTGTATTTTCACCTCAAGTTTCCATCTAAATATTTAAAATTGAGAATGACTTATCATTATTTTTTTCTTAATTTTGTCATGTTAAAATATAATTGGTATTGTAAATTAGAAGGTGTGTTAACGGAATTAGAATGCGTTGATTAATAACTAGAGATAATATATTTAATATATCTATTGATAACAACCAGTTGTATTTATTTTTACTTGCTAATTACATAAATTGTTTTTATTTAATGTTATTTTTTTACCAATCTTTGTGTGTTAAATCTATTGTACAAAATTTTAATTCAAGAAGTAACAGTTATAACTACAATACAACTGTAAATTACATACAAATTACAATACAAAATAATTATAAATTACAATACAATGTAAATTACATTGAACATATGACATGTATATTGTATGTTTGTTTTAGTTATAGCGTAACCTCCTGAAACTCCATGTATTACTTCGGTTTCAATTTAGTTGGTTTAACCTATGCAATATATTTAAAAGTCTTTTACTTGACATAATACCATTTTATATTTACTAACTGTAAGTTCCAGTGTTACAATTTAGTACAATAATACTATTATCTTCTAGTAACATTAAACATTCTTCCCAATAAGTATTTTATGTTCCCAATAACATTTAGTACGAGTTACTATTACCATAAACAAAAAATTAAACTATCGCTTTCCTTGTCTGTGCTATTACCGTATGACAAGGGCATCATCAACGATTCACTGAAATAAACCGCAGAGAAGTGGTAGAGTGGTAACTTTCTCATGGATCGACGTTACACTTTCGGCTCCATTATGTTGTGTGGGAAACGTACCTTTGACGAGCGCGGAAGAGCCGTGGTGCGCACTTTGTGGAAATTCCTATCGCACAAGATAGAGAAAAGGTCTTTCTCCACCATGAGCGTTGCAGTGCATGAGGACGAGAGGGGTGGTGATAGACTTTGCCCTAGACACCAGTAACTATATTTAGACACCACTTAAGTGTATCATTGAATGTTTCCTTCTCTCTGTGACTAAACCTCAAAACACCCTGTCCACAGTTCCTCCTATGCTGTGGATCCCTCATCAGCTGGTCGGAGTTCCCCCGGGATACAACGTAACTCTGGAGTGCCACACGGAGGCGCATCCTACTTCACTCAACTACTGGACGAGGAAGGATAACCATATGATCCACGACAGTAGGAAATACAAGGTAAATTTTAGATTTATACTGTTAAGTGTTATTATGTAATGTTAGTAACTATTGTAATTATTTGTTCACTTTCTTTCCCTAAGTAGGGAGAAAGTATTATATTGGTAAAAATGTTTACATTGGAGTTTTCTTCAAACATTTGACAGAAACAACTTACTAGTGTTATCTTTTTTTAGTTTTAGTGTAATATTTCAGATAATTCCACTTCTAGTCACTTGGATGGTCATAACTCCGTACAAAGCTGTTCTTGATAACAGCTGGTATCAAACTGTTAAGAAAGTATTTGTCTCCCCAAGCTTTCATTTAGATCAGCTGATTTTTCTTTGATCTCATTTTAATTTCCATTCCTCTCAATCAATTCTCCATTTGTCCCCTACAAGCTCTAGTATCTGTTTACAATATGAAGCTTTTTGCTAGTATTTTTATATTTTTTGACGCTAGGCACGAGCCCGGGATTGTTTTTCACTTTACTTCATGCTAGACCTAGGTGTTGCGGCATTATCACTTGGATAAAATCCATTGGTCCATTTACGGGACCAAAATCCATTTACGGGATTTGAACCCGGATGGACCTCATCCCGCGCTCTAACTACTACACCAGCTCGCTCCCCCGTTATTTTTATACTAAATAGATTAGAAATTATAATAGTTGTAATTTTACTCAGGTCTGTTATTCTGTATTTGAGCATATTTGCGTCGTGATGAAAAGTGTCATTCCTTATATGGGCCAAAATGGAGTTTTTGGCACTTGCTCCAATCAGTTATTCCCATCCTCAGCTTCGCCTTGTACGTGAAATTTTGGTTTTTCTGCGCCTCACACATGAAACTTGAGCGTACACAAAAAAATGCCTCTTTGATACAAGTACAAAAAGATTTTGATAATATACAATTTACGATGAATCTCTTCTTCACCAACAAAATTATTCATATATTAATTTATTTAGCCTTAGTCATAACACAAGACGCAAAGAGTATGCAGGTTTGCTGACAACGAGTGTGATTTTTGTTTTTTTTAGGCGGAGACGAGCCAAGGATCGCCAAGTTATAAAACTCACATGAGACTCACCATATACAACATACAAGAGCAGGACTACGGGGCCTACAAATGTGTGGCCAAGAACCCAAGAGGCGAAACTGACGGCTCCATCAGACTATACAGTAAGTAACAACTGGTTACATCAATAAATAATTGCAATGCTTTTAGCAATAAACATACAATTACAATAATTTAAGGGAAAAGAATATAAGAATACCTAGGGAAATAGCCAGAAACGTATATTTTTATGTAAAACAGCTATTTACTCAATTTTGTGTTTTTTTTTATCCATAATAATAAGAGTTAATTGTAGAGAGTGAAATATAATTTCTTAGTATAATATGTTCAAGTTGTTAAATTAATTTCTTACTATTTTTAAATAATGATTTGATCTAATAAAATACAATCAATTTTAACATTACAGAATTGTCACTAACTTTTTATTGGACGTATGATGTAAATTATGTTAATTAAACATTTCAGTAAACATACAAACCTTAACGATTTACCAATTTCTTTTTTTTTTAATTTAAATTTTATAACGGGAAGAATCTATGTACGTGCAACTAACTAAAACATGATTAAATATTAAAAAGCATGACATTGTTACTTATAAAATTTAAAAAAACTCATTTAAATTTTAGACTTACTTGAAAAAAGGTCTCTAATTATTATGATCCTGATTTTGTTCCTTACTAAACTTAATACACATATAGACTTGTTAGGGATGACTAGTCTTTTTTTAAATTTATTTGTGCCTTATTGATTTGATTTAATTACATACACTTTCTTGATAAGTGAACAAAATGTTAACAACATTTTGTTAAATAAAGGTTATAAATAATTATGGTTTTAAATATTTCACATGTGAAACTAATTCTATTCATCCGAGTATAGTGATGATTAATAAACTAAACATAAAATTGTATTTTTAAAACCTTTCATCGTAATCAGTACTAAATTGAGTTGTCCTGTGACCGATGAATAAACTGAGGTATAAAAAAATTCAGAATTAAAATACTGAGAATCTACAATTTTATAAAAACTATTACTTAAACTCGGCAAGTACTTTCTGACCACAAAGCCACATTTCGGGGTTTTGACAGCTAAGTTATTAATTTTATATGTGCTTATTTGGAATTTTATTATTATTTACCACTACCGTCCAATCATCATAACCGTACAATATGTAAATTTATAATTTGTATCATACGAAAAAACGTATATCCCACGAAAAGATCATAAACGTCACTATTGAGACATTAAATCCTTATCCTAATATGACTAAACAATTCACTAATTCAAACTAACAACTTTACATTGTAATTTTATTTTGGCCGATACATTCACAATATGGTCGATATACAGGTAACCTATTTGACGAAGACAGTGAAACAAAATAAATTTATTAATTTTTACATAAATTAATAAATATTTATATTCTACACCTATTTAAGTCCCTTATGAGTCACTGAATCCTAAAACAGGTTTTTTGGGGTTTCTTAAAGTCCTACGGTTATAACTAGGACGCTAGGGTCTACTCGACTAACACTTTGCTCCTTCGTGACTTTATCACAAAGCTAAATCCATTAGTGATTGGCAGGATTAGAACCTATGACCTAAGAGACGTGCTGTCCTACTAGACCAGCTCCCCATTTTCTAAATTACATTTAATTACAACTTGTTGCACAGCCACAAATGAACAATAGCTCTCCCATGAGCGATTTTTCTGCCGATTCATCCCACATAGGTCAATACTGAACGGTTGTTTTGAATCATACATGAAGAACGTTTGTTTTCCGAGGCCAACAAGAATGTTTGATGTCCACTAATACAAGTTGACAACCGCGTGGTGTCTGGCCTCGTAACCATGGCAACATCTCTCCTCTGTATCGCCCATCTCTCTCACTCTCTCCCCCCCCCCCCCTCTCGCTCTCTCTCTCTCTCTTTCCACGTCTCTTTTTACACATACCGTAACATGCCATTTCCTTATCCTTAGATTAAATCAAGTAATACCCACTTACGGGTTTATTTGATTTTGTAGCAATTCCTTTTCACTTTAGCCAATCCCGTTTGGAGATTTTTACGCCGTTTTCGTCAATCGAAAAGGATTAGGTTACCAGTTATTTTTAGTATGCTATTTTGACATGGTGCATATGTGAATTGAGTGTGTGGTGAGAAGGTTATTAATTATAAAATTTAAGGTTTTTATTTAGTCACTAGCAGAATACCCGTCCTTCGTACGGGGTTGGCATATAAGTATCAAATGCTTATAGCAGTTATGAGTGAGGACATGGTTTAAGAAATTTCGGTTCTTTTTGAAGTTCGTTCGCTACGCTCACTCACCTTTAGGTTGGAGCTCGTTCGCTGCGCTCACTTTCCTTCAGGTTAGCTCGTTCGCTACGCTCACTTGCCTTCAGGTTAGCTCGTTCGCTACGCTCACTCGCCTCCAGGTTGAAGTTCGTTCGCTACGCTCACTCACCTTTTGGTTGCAAATTAGCTGTTGTCATAAAAATGTAAAAGAAATAATGCTAGTGCTGCACCCTGTTGGTAATCCTTGTAACTTTAATGCTATTGAAAATCATAGAACAGAACCAACTTGTTTAATTGAAACAGCTGTTAAGATTCATTAATTCCATTTCTCATAAGGTTAACATGGGAACCTTTGCTCCAGAGCCACTGGGGCGGAGCCCGGAAGGATTTTTGGGATAAAAATATGCCTATATGTTAATCGGGAATATGAGCTATCATCATGCCGAATTTCAGCCCGATCCGACCAGTAGTTTTCGCGTTTACTTTTCCCATACACACAGACACCACCTCTTTTTTATAATAGTATAGATTATTTACTATGGTTATTTTAAGTGTAGTTGGATAGGCGAATACAACTTTCATAAAAAACCTAATACGTTATTTAGTTTATATTTTTAATTCATATTTTAAGTATTTCTCATACACCTAGATAACAATAATTGCTGTTTCCAAAGAAATGTTGATTTGTTAAGGATTTTTTTAAACTCAATCTCAATATAATAATAATTATTAAAGTTTTTTTTTATTCAAAACACTTCTATGAGTACATTTGTATTTATTTTTTCCATTATATTCACTAATGTTTTTTATAAATCATCTTACAGCAACATTTAACCAAATATAAAATTTTAATCAAAATTTATCTAAATTTGTATATGTAGGTATAATAGCAAAACTAAGATAAAATATAATAACTGTGCCAGAGTTCCTAATGATGGTAATACTGTACTAATATTTTGAAAAATATCAATGTTATTCTAAACTCATGAATTGTTAAATGGCATGACCAGATTATCGGAACTTCCTATTTTGTTGTTAAACCGTAAGAGTCTAATTTATGTAGCTAATTGAATAAAAAAATATTTGTTAAAAAAAACTACAAAAATATTTACTTGTTTAAAAATACACCTACCAAAATATTTAATTCATGTGTCGTCTGAAAAATAATGACTGTCCGTATAATCCATGGAAATTATGTTATTTCCTGGATTTTACAAACGAAATAAGTAAAAGTTTGGACCCCTTCTTAACGCTCAAAATCAACATGTCCAAAATACAGTGTGGAAAGTGTGCACTGTACACAATACAAGCCATTATCGAATTAATATATGCATGTCTTGTTGCCAAAATGATAAAAAGATATTTTTCCCAAAAAAACTAATAACAAATAATATATTTGTGCTTGTTATAAAAAAAAATATATCCATTTTGCAAAAAAAAAATATCATTCTAAATGGAAATTAATTTTATGAAGCTGATTGATCAATCATATGGGAAATTCTGATCTAAGGGGTTAGGGATTCTAGGGGTTGTTTGGGATGAGTGGGGGTTTTTAGGGGGGGGGGGTTGGCTCCCCAACACATGCCGATCATGCCTCATGCTTCACAGCCCGTCTTGTATGAGCTGATGCCCATTACAGTGATTACAAAGGTAAACTCGGCCATATTTCACTTTATTGTCGAGTATTTACCCCCTCTCCAGCCCTTTATCAACATATGTAGGGCCTACATGGTGCATTGGCGTGCAAAACTGAAAATTTGTATGTGAAGCTGTAGGGTGGAAAAGGTGTTCTAGCTTATGGTTGGAATAGATGTTTTATGTTACGTGATTTCAAAACATATGCGATATATAGCCAAGTAAGAACACTGAGTAGTTAGGATTTGGTGGGGGAAATAGTTAAAGTATATAAATGTTGTTATAAACGTGTCTTATTCAAACTGACTTCGGTGCGGGAAAGCAGATTCGATTCTCACCACAACACATGCGTTTGGACCTTTCCCCTGTACATTGTCTCTCGTCTGAAAATGCCACTGGAGTCGAAACTAAGGAAACCCCATTATAAAGTAAAAATAAAATCTGTGCTTCGCCAATTCCATACATAGAACTGATGTGATCTTTCATAGATCTCATCTGAAATTAGTTCCTTAAGTAATTCTCAAGTAAATTCAAATTTTTTCTGACAAAAGCATTTATAGTTGAACCGTTGAGGGTTAATGACGTGGTAACAAAATTAAATCAGCGATTAAGGAAAAGAGTTTAGCAATTATATTCCACATAATTCATTAAAAGATTATACTCAACATAGCAGCAGACAATATAGTCTGACAAAATAAACCGTATTAAATGCTTTTGTTTTAATTTTTGTTGTTGTCAACAACTATTATTATCTCCCCAATCAACCAACTTGATACCTAATGTTCCGTTATAATCTTGGACTTTGCAGAAATTGCAATATTGCAGTTTGTTTGACAATTGCTAAGCTCTTCATTAGAAAGTAGGTACTCAATTTGATACGATTCGATCTAATTCGTTATCCGACTTTGTCGTTGCAAAGCAAATTTTTCGTCTTAAACTCTCTATTCATTGTAAAATCTTCTTAAGTCCCGCTCTAACTCATCAAACAACTCTCTGTAAATCGGTCTTATCTAATGTATAACATCTGTTTTGTAAAATTGCTAGTTAGCAAAGATTGCAGCTATTTCAAACGTTTAATTAGTTTCAGAGATCGAAAATGTAAGATATTCAACTGTTATTACTGAATGTAAATGTGATAGTAGTTAAATTTTACCTTTCTTTGTAAATGCATATACAAAATAAATGAACACTTTGGTCATCATGTTTAGTATGAATTCTGAATTTCTAAGCAAATACACGTCATAATTACTAGGAATTTTGTATTTGCAATACTAATTATATCGTATTTAATCCTTATAACTGGACAAAATAATCCTTATTGATGGAACTCCAAAAAGTAGATGGTTGGCCGCTAACAGGCCAGATGCCCGGAAAGGCTATTGAGATTAGCTTCAGAGTTGTGACGTACAAAGGAAAAATCCAACGCCAACTCTCTCCCTTAAGTACACTCATGGTGGTGAGAAGACCCTGGGCCATTGGAAATTCCACACAGTGCCCACTAATCGAGCTCTTCCTTCTCGTCACAAGTATTTCTTGTACAAAATTGACATATGGTAGCTGAAAGTGCACAGTCATCCCATAAGGAAGTTTCATCCGTCTTATTTCTTTGTGGCTTAGACGACGGCGTTTTAATTGTCACAATCTTTTAACTGGCCAATGTTTTGTTCAAATACATATCTCATTTACAAAACTAATCGAATCAATTCAGTATACATAAGCTATACACGGACAGGGCCTCGAGACATAAGCAGATGTCAATGATGAGCGTTTGATCTGAATCTGAAGTTGAGGATGTTTGTCTGCTTATGTCAACAAGATTGTTTGATGTCAGCCAACACTGGTGGATGTCTGGTTGAGTAACCATGGCAACTGTAACAACCGTACCTCTCTCTCGCACCCATTCAACAAAGCTACTACACCCCTCCCACTCATTCCTTCATCCCTTTAATTGTTTTGGTATACAACTCCCATTAGTTGTATATTTATCTTCTTCGGTGTTAATTTCTTTAACATCGACTGAATATTTTGAATGTAATAAATGTATCCAACGTAAATGACTAAGGTTTTAAAGTTTTAGGAAATATTGGTAACATCTGACAATTGATAAAGTACAATATACTTAAAACAGAATTGAGTTGAGTGATCTTTCATGGGGAAAAAGGTAAAAATTTATTAATAGTAATTAGGTTAGGATAATATAGTCTCTAAGTTGAATTCTGGTCAAATGTTCAAGCAAAATAGTAATAAACGATGTTATCCCTAGATAACAAGAAGATAATTTTTTAAACACTAAATTCTTTGTTTGTGAAATATTCAAATTTATGGGGAGTTAAAGTTCTTTGTTTCGATAAATGTAATGTAATTTACCGTTAACTAATATTAGGCCTTTAACTTCGATTTTTAGCTAATTAAAAAAAAAAAGAAGTGGCATAGTGAGATCTGGATCCGGGCCTGATTCACTTTTAATTTTTTATGTCCTCAGAAGCAAAAACCCTGTAAATGTAAATTTACCATGATACCTCAAGTAGTATTGGTTTGAATTTGATGATTTTTTTAACGTGTGGTACACTAAAATGAATTCACAAACCAGCAAGATTAGTTATGAGAACTGTGTGTTTCGGGTTTTCTTTTCAATTGTGTTTTTTCAAATTGTTACTCTTAAATCATAGAAATTCCCAATTTTCATTGCAATGATTATGTTGAAGTTTTGAAAACAAATCATTTTGTATCGTGAAGCATTGTCGTCTGATAAAAGGTTACAGTACTGAGAAAATTAAAACAATAAACTTACAATATTAAAATTCCCATGTTATCCTTATCGAAAAAGATAACTGCCGGTGTTCATGGATATACCATCAATACCATGGATATGTTGATCAAATCATATAAATTTACTTACTTCAACCTACAATATCAACATTTGATAAATACAAACTTACAATTTTAAGGAAATATTATATCAAATGGGAATTCCCTTAGTCTGCATGTTTGCTGTCACAGGGGTATTGTATTATATAGGCACTAATCACGTAAGTGAAACTGGTGAAACCAAAAAAGCTTGCCTCATTAATAAATGGTTTTTTTTAGTTAATGACCGTATTTACCTCGATTGTTTTACGTGCCAAGCAAAGCAACGATTGAGCTGGTACGATACTGAATAAATAAATAATAATTATAAGTAATATACACCTTCAGTTGTATGCCATTTTTTACCCTACGCCCTTTAAAATTTAATCATGTAACTATGATATTTTTTATTATGTTTGGCTAGGAATGGCTATAATTTTGAGGGATGTTGGACATTTTTAACTTTTATGTCACTTATTTTGTATTTTTTAAACTAATACAATGGTGCAATGATCGTTTTTTCCATATTCCTTGCTTTAAAATTAGTTCTAAAGTAGGTTCAAAACTACTTTAAAAAATAATTACAGTTTAGCACTTAAAAGTATCCAATGGAAATAAAAGTAAAGTAAATTCAAAGTAAAATAGTCACAGTTAAAAAAGAATATACGAAACACAAGTTACTGAAGTGAATTAATGAAATTCCGGTTTTGCATGAAGGTTCTCATTACTCAATCAATCTAATGTAGGACATGAAGGGGACGGTCAACATAAAGGGACACAGTTAATACTCAAGTCCTATGTCCATGCTTGTAAATTACTCTTCAACCAATTACTCTGTTGGCGTTAGCTACCTCTTATTTCATTCTCTTTACTAGTCAATATCGATAAAGCCGATTTTTACGAATTCAATAACTTTATAGCACTGATGCAAGTTAACAGATTATTTAACATACTTAATGTTGTTAATATGCTTTAGTCTTAGGAAAGTAAAATTCTTTTTAAAATATATGTAAATGATGAAAAAGGTATCAAATACTTCTTGTTGGAATATATATATATTTTTTTTATCAGTTGCATAAGTAGTGTAGCAATATCGCAAGTCACTGAAATAATTTTTAAAGAACCTTTTTTTAACTGCATTTTAACAACTATGTTGTATGTGTTTTTGTGAAGTAATTATGTTATTCAAGACGTTGTTTTTCATTATATCTAATTCAAGATTATTTCTGAGTAGAGTAATTTGACGGACGATTACGAAACTTGCCATAATTGTGTCAGTAACGTCACATTAGTTTCAATAGTTATTGATACTTAACATACATTATTTCAAAGATTCAAAAAATATATTTTAAGTTGTGTGTGTCATAAAATATTCTATAAACATTTCGTATATATTCCATGGATATTAAATTAAAATATGCGTCTTCACGTTTTTGTTAGCCTTTTAATTTTATAAAACGTTTCTTTTTACAATTAATGGAAACGGTCATACATAAAATATTGGACACCTCACCTGGTGTTACCTGATTCTCATCTGGTTTTCCGCAGGGTGCTTAAATAATTTTCGTCCATTAACCATTAGTTTTACGACAAAAATAAAACTTCTAACTCAAATAAACGGTTTGATTTAGCAATCTCTGGTCAAGAAATATACATTTAACCATCACGTTAGTTTAATCTCGATAATTTCCAATTCCCAATTTTTTTTCTTAAAAAGCAACACTTCCTTTTTCATTTTTAGGATAACAGAATAACCATGACCACGAAATCCATCGGAGATAGATTATTTCCAATAATATCCTTTAAATTAAAATAAAACAAATATTGACAAAATATTACATTTTTTTAGTATTGCAGTATCGTACTTTGCTCTAACCTACTCCCTAAATTAAAAGTTCTTTAAAAATTAAACAGTAAGTTGTCACAGTATTTCTGTGCTCGTTGCAGGCTAGGAAAAATAAAACCATAGGTAATTTGAATGAAACAAACCAAACTATTATGTTTTTGTATAAGTTAAATGGATATTTATCTCTAACAATACTTAATCTTTGTTTTTCAAAACAAAGAAAAATAATATCTTAACCCCTCTTTTGTAATGAACCGAAATGAAGATCTTTTGCCTTCCTTTTAATGTTGCTTCTCTTCAGGCATGGAGATATTCTCACAATCGCTTGTTGCACACTTTCTCTATTTGCTTTCACTGACTTGTTTCCAATCACGTTTTCTTCTCTCTCTCTTTAAGACTCTGGTCCGCCATCAACTACACCAGCGCCCTCTACGGAGCCACCAGCCCCGCCCGTGTTAGGTAAGGGCTCTACAGCATGCCCAGTTACCCACTGTTTTTTTGTTTTGCTTCCTCTTTCTGCACTGCATGTTTTCACATATAATATTTTATATGCCATAGAGAAATAAAGTAAAGAGGAAACACGTTAGTCAACCGTGCACTTTCAGCTCTGGTACGTTGCGCCGGAAATATACTTGTGCCGGAAATATACCTGTGCCAGGAATATACCTGTGCCGGAAATATACTTGTGCCGGGAATATACCTGTGCTGGAAATATACTTGTGCCGGAAATATTCTTGTGCCAGAAACATACTTGTGCCGGAAATATACTTGTGACGGAGATATACTTGTGCCGGAAATATACTTGTGACGGAAGAGCCCGATTGGTGAACCCTGTGCGGAAATTCCTATCGCACAAGGCACAGGGTCTTCATCCAACGTGAGCTTTGTAGTACATAATGGTGAGGGAGGCGGTGTTGGACTTTTCTCTAGACACCAGCGACTAGTGCTAGACACCAGTGACTAGTGCTAGACACCGCTAAAATGTACTATCGTGTGTATCCTCTGTGCCTTATTTCTCTGCGTATATCCTTTGTTCAATCATACTAACCGTTCTAGATTAAATTCAACAATAAGCGTCTTGGGGTTTGATATAAGAAAGGGGCTTACACCTAAAATTATTTTTTTTTATTGAATTTTAAGTTTTAAATCAAATAAATACTAAGTAACGATCTAATATGTCAATGATTAAAATTAATCAGTGCGGGTTTTTTTCGTAAATTTAGTATGTGAGACACATATAAAACCCAGTCGACCGGATAGGTTACAGGAAAAATACACTTTTAATCAAAGCTTCAAAAAATATATAAATTTAGAAATCCTGTTTCATAATTTTTTTTTTGTCAAGAGAGGCCTATAAAGGTATAGAAGTGATGTTACTAACCGTAATGCAAGATTGACTTTTATGTTGCTTAAGCAGATTTTAAACATCTTAAGGCATGATTTTGTCATCAATATATAAGAGACTTTAATGCTGAGGTTGAATATAAGGTAGGAACTGATATGATGTCTCAGGCATCATACTATTAATTAATTCCAATAGTGAGTTACAGTATGCTTCAGAATGTTTCATTGTTAATCATTTTTAATAACCACTGATCATTTCACCACTACATTTATATAATATTTTATTATGCATTGCCTTATCTGTATCACAAAAGTCATGGAAATTGAATAGCGTATGTGTCAGGATGTTCTGTGGTGAACTTAGGAAGACATTACTAGGAAGACAGTAATGTTACACTCAAGGGCTGGTAAAACTAAAATTTATATTTATAACGATACAGGTTTACTAATATTGTAAATGTTTCCCTAAATCAACTAAAAAGTAATAAACTGTTTTAAAATGAGAGTATTTTTTAAACTATTGTGTGCATTCAAGTAATTAATTATTATATTGTATCGATCCACAAAGAGTATAATTAAACCCGTAACTAATCCCTCGTATTCCCTCTACCTATCACTTATCAAAGATATTTCAGTCAATCTAAATGTTATTTGTAATTAACAAACACGATATCCGATTTTCCTATAAACTCTAAATCGGCCCAAGTAGCAATGCATATCTTATGTGTGACAAAATGATATTTTAAACACGTATAACACTGTCGTTTGAAATACCATAAGAAAAACTTACTAAAATAGCTTTTTTTCAAATACGTGATAAAATTTTTCAAATGCAATTAATTACTACCAGTTTTTCTGATGACTATGTTTACCACTTGGTCTAATGTAAAAGAGATTTAATACACCTGAGAATTGTATCTGAGGAAGATCGGGTTGTGATATCTCCCGCCACCTGCTTACAACATTATCGATTGATATCCCCATCATCCGGCGAGCGGTGCCAAATTTGCCCCCGAACTTTTAACAGCTTCCCGAACTTTCCAGGATATGACACTAATTTAACCTAACTCGTTGAAAAACACCGCCAACCAAAACGCGTCACCAAGAAGTTTTGGGAAATCGGTCAAGCAGGTTTTAACAACATGTTTGGTCATAGCTTGAGTGTGATTGCATATCAAGTATTGTTTTTGTTCAATGAATTTACTATTTTTTACAATAAAAATTGCATAAAATTTTTTTTACAAATATGATAAAAAAAAATTTTATTTGGACAATTAGTAAAAATTTTTTACCCAACTTAACACCAAAGCATTTCGGACCATCCAGGAAAAAAATACTTCGTTTCAATAAACAATTATGATATAACTTCTAAACTTGACCCAGTTGTCCTTTATTTGGCTTTTGATCTCGCTAACAAAACAGGAGGCCTTAAGTGACGATCCCAATAGTTCCTTCCCATATTAATTGGGGCTAGTGACAAATATTTAAATCAAAGTACAAAGTAGCCTATACATTCATTCTAGACATTCCAGTGTAGTATTTTATTTTATGTTCAAATGTTTACTGAATCGTACTATTAACTCCTCATCATTGGTGCATATTTGTATTTCTGTAATCCATCACTAATGATCTAAGCAATAAGATTAAGTAAGTGAGAGTTTATGTTGGAGCTTAATATATGTTTCTTGCTTACATGTAGTTAGTTAAATATACGTTGTACTAAGATAACATTTTGTTACATACGAATCCATTATTGAATGTAACTTTTATCTGATTTTAAATATACATTGTTATAAAGTTATATATAAAATTAATTTCCTATGACAATAAATTTTTATATTTTTATATTTTTACACCAACTATTTACAATCCATAATCCAGTAGGATTATGTTAATCCTTTCCCTTTTTTTCCTTCATGCAATATGGTCAGACAACATTTAATGAAACTAAGATAAAATATATATTTTTTTTATATTGATAATACACTGCATTTTTCGGAATTGATATTCTATTATTTTTAGAACAACTAAATAACCTATAATCGCAGATTATATTTCCATTCCACTTCTTACAGCTGTTAATCATAATGCTATAAAATATTTATGTTACTGTAAGGCTTAATGAATTGTTTTCTATGTCTATATTTGGGTATTTAAAACGGCAATGGCATGTTTTCAAATGCGGAAAATAATAAGATCTCAAGTTTCATGAGTCCTTACTGAACCTTTCCTAATCTCGCACTGAGGAGCGAATATTTGTTTCCTCAGTTAACACGAAAAGCTCCGAACTTCGCCGGAAAAATACGATTGTGCTTAAAACGATTCATAACCGGCACGGCACGATCGTGTTTTCCCGGTGAAGTTTTAAAACAAACAGTTTTTTTTTTTTTTTTTACTCAAACTACCTCCAGAGTTGGGTCCATAAAATATTCAAAACTTCAATTTCGTTCGTTTAGGTTAACATATTTGTATATTGTCTAATCATAGTTAATTAGTTTTTTAGCTTCTAAACTGCCACTGTAATCATAGAATAAATTAAATAAATGAGACTTTACGCTAATGGTCTAGGTCTTATTAATAGTTATATTTTAATAAGAATACCAAGACATTAAAAACATTATATTGATTTGAAAATTAATTTTACACCTCAGTTATTGTGTGAAATGTATTATGTTCAGTTAAAACTAGACAGCTGTTTTTTTTATATTTTTTTTATAAGTAACATTGAAGTAAATCGTTCATTCATGTTGTTGTAAAATTAAAATTATTTTCTGTTAATTTTTGTTAACATTGCTTATTCATTTTCTCTCCCACATTTTCATTAATTACACATAAACACTCACCACAGTAATCATTAATACGTTTAACTAGTACCACTGAATATTGGATACTGAAGTAAGCATCCCATCTATATGGAACAGCTGTCGCCAATTTGTTATTAAAAAAGAACATAGTTATGGGAGCCAGTTACAGAATGCGCTATGATCTAAAATTCTACATTCTACCTTATTTAGTGTTGCTGACTAAGTTTATGGGTAATAACAGTTGCTATAATTCACCTTAAGTCATTCTATTAGATTGACTTTGTTAAAAAGTCCGTATATGCGACAGAAATTAATGAGATCAGCGCAATCTGTCGGTGACTCATCTCAACTACGAAGACTTTGAACATTGGCGACAACTTTTACATGGAAATGGAAAGTCTAGTAGTATTAATAGTCAAAGCTAGTACGTTTTTATGCCAGCTTACATTACTATGATGTATTCCCACGTACGAAAACACTACAATTACGTGAATTATCACGTATTAAGCAAATAAATGAATCGTTTAATCAAAATATTTCAGCAAAGTGTTGTGTGCGTTAAGCCTGTGAACGTGGAGGCTTAGTATCACTTTGATATTAAGTACTTATATACTAGCGTGATCTGCTAGTAACCCTACGAAGGGCTCATATGCACTGGTTCGCAGTTGCCCACAATCCTATTTTGAGATTGCCCCTCCACTCAAGCAGAAAATGACAATTGTTCTGCCCATCGCCTATGAGATGATTGAGTTTCAGACTTATCAAATTTCTTCCACCGACCACAAAATGTGATATTTTCAACTTCGCGATCCTCTTATGGAAAATTTGTAATTTCCAGATTAACTAGATTTTGAATCAGTATTGTTAAAGTATAATATTTTTATAAAAATGTTTTTAGTTACGAGTTTGATATTTTTTCAACGACCATATTATTAAGTAAAAACTAACTATAGGCAATTGAAAAAGTATTACAAAATGTTTTATTGATATATTTATCCTGCATAATAAAACGTACATTTTAAAATGAGCTGACACCTATCGCATTACACGTTGATATATTGTAAAATTGTAACATCGTTTACACTTAATGCAAATGTTTAAGATAATGATAGATAAAAAAGTACAAGGATGTTTTTATAATGTCTTTCAATCCTTTCATAGACTATACAAATATCTTTTGTTTGGATTTACCTTGAAGTCATTTCGGCACTTGTATCTTAGTTCAAAAACATTAAAAATGAAATGTTAATTCATTACATAGTTTTATTTCCATCCTTGGGCTAGCAATTTATCCTATTCATTTATTTAATGGGATAATACCAAATTCACGCAAACCATTTGGTACAACCCTGACTTTAATTTACTCTTGGTTTTAGGTTTTAAAGTTTGGCTAGCACTAAACGATTGATTTGGAATTTACACGTTTTATAAGAGTGAATTATTTTCAAAAAGGGTCACATACTGTTTTTATTTTACGAAAACTATTGTTAAGACAATTTTGTTAGTAATCACGAAGTAAATTTTCTCTATTGAATCATAACATCAAACAAGCATTATCAAGCCCCATCACTGAGTCTAAATTAAAATTGTCTAAAGAATTGTTATATTAGTTGTGAGTCTATTTTGAAATTTGTATTCTTGCAGATCCTAAGGGAGAAATCAAGGATGGTGACATGAACAACTCAATCAATCCGTATCCTGCTAAAAATGACAAAGGTAATAATTACAAATAAGGGTAAAGTATTTCCATAGAAAATACCATTCTCTTTGAAATAACCTCTGGATACTCAATGCACCTAAGATATAGTTAGAGTACTTAAAGTACGATGTACATTCAAGCGTTTAACTCAACAATGAACAATATTAAAATTTAGAGAAACAATACTTAAATTTATTTGTGTACTTGAAGATTTACATTCTTACAGTAAGTGTTATCCAATCCATTACAAACTCATAAAATAGGTATCAAATAGTGATGTACTAATTTCCGAAACGTAGAAATTTATTCATGATTAGTAAGTACATAGTTCTTGTACTATAGACTCTGTAATCCCATTTCATTTTTAAAATAACCTTCAGAAACAAAATCAATCTAAAAAACTGTGAAGATTAAAATATCGACATAATTACAATTGTAAAGAAATGACTGCAATCATTACTAAACATATGATACTAAAAATAAACTAATATGTTCAATAAACAATAAAATCCACAAGCACAATTACTGATAAAAAAACAAACCGATACGATGGTCGAGCAGTGTTCTATTATGGGTGTCATCACCTGTAAACAAATCCATTATCGCTCTCATCCAATCTGCGAAAACAAATTATCAGAAAATTGGATCCGTTGTTAACCGTAAACAATAATGAGACTGGTTGCGCTTTTTGGCTAAATGAACAAACATGTTCAACTGACCGGATCAACAATCGCTAAGGGATTATCTACTTGAGTTTTGTGCAATCAACTAGTAAAGTAAAATTTGTTGGGTTATTTTATGAAGTTCCAACCAATTGTTAATATTTATAACTTTAATTCGGGTTTTATTTGAGAATACTGAATTGTTCACGCCTGTGTATTTGTTAGTAATAGGCTGACAAATATCGACACTATTATGGTACCAACAGTTGAATATTTATAAAGACTGCTTGTCTGTATGTGATTTTTAATAAGCCCACAATATTTAATATGTACGTACACATTATTTGTGTATTGCCATAAAACGCAATACTGGGTGCATAAAATGTATTATAACAATTTAAGATATATTTTACCTATAAACCTGACCCTATGCAGGATACTTAAGACAAAGAATCTAAATGGATTTAATTTCACATTCCTGGCTTATTTGTTTTTGTTTTCTAGAGCTGGTATGCAAAACCAGCAACCAAATATAAAGTTTGTTCATATAGATTAGTGGTATTTAGCTGGCTGTATCAAATTGTGCTTGTGTAAAGTAAGCTGTGTTTAAATCTAGACGTTTGAGCTAAAAGTCGTTAAAAATTAGCCATTTAAAAATGTTTCACTTATAAAAGTTTTTTTTGCTCACATTCTCTTTGACTTATTTAGAAAACACTCCCAGTTTCAAATTTGCAGTTCCAATGGATGATTTCAGCATTAAAAAAACTACATGTTTATACTGGGAAACCTGTTTTTGTGCAAAGATGAAACCTAAAAAAAATTGACTTGGGAATCCTTGAACAGCCGTATTGACTGTTATTCTATATTATAAGTGCTAAATACTATACTAATAATTTCTATTATATTCTTCTCAATCAGGCAACAAGTACCAGTCTAGTCTGAATGAAATCGACAAATCTGAACAGAAATCACAAGAATCACCCGCAAAAGGCACACACTATGATTGGCCAGAAAACAAACAAATAGGTGAGTAAAATACCACAGCAAAATAGGGAACTCCATTAGTTTCGTAATATATATTTTTAATTGTTAAAAAGGGTCAAAGGAATAAAGCATGTTTTTCTTTCACTGGTTATGCTTATTTATCTCCTACATCAATTAATCTTGTAAGATGATATGATACAAATACGGTAGATTCACGTGAAAATGTTTCAAAGTAACAACCAAGCCAATTCAATGGCATTTACATGAATGTTTCTTTTACAAAATATTTGCCCATCAATTATTTAAAACAATGTACCTACTATTTCTTTAAAACACATTTTAGTTATAACCACCATAACGTTGTAATCATATCTAGGAAATTTTATGGAAGATATTGTTTTATCCATTCAAGCTGGACTTAAATTATTCTAAATACGTTGAGTATGTTTTATTTTGTGTACTAAATATTTTAAGCACTTAAATCAACGGCAAAGAAAAAACGGTCCAATTAAATTTAAGTAAGTTTTTTGCGAATTTTAACAACAGATAGCAAAAGTTCTCACCACAGTTATAAAAAAACACTTAAATGTTAATAATACAACATCATCAAGTATGTTTCGATGTTGATTATATAATGTGCACTCATGTACATACATACAGTTGATGATTTCCCTCGTTTTTGTGCATTTCCCCCCCCCCCCTTAACAGTTCCCTCCAAATCAGTCAAATAATAATCCTCCACGCATTCCAATTTATGATATTTCCTCCGTGGAAGTCACAATTCTAGAGGGGGAGAACGATGTGGAAGAAATCGTTGGAAAAATAAACTGAGAAATGAAAACATTCGTTTTTATTCTCTCTCTCCCAGTATTGACTGTCAAACCCTCTTTGGGTTGCTTGAATAGATTAGTTAAATCTTGTGATTTCCCCGTTATTCTAGAGTATTTTTCTTCTACCAGAATACCGCAGTTATATAAAGTTTGAAACTTTCTGGTTATGGTTACCTGTCAAGGTATTGTTGCGTTACTAAATTTATTGCTTAAAGATTAATTTTCTTCTATTACCTTATAAGACTACAGTAATTTATTTATAAAGTAAAATATAATTTTTTTTCCAATTATTTTTAAATTATAATTTTGTTTTAATTATTTTAAATATTAGATTAAAATTCTGTAGCTCTTCAGTAAAAAAACGCATGAAAATAAATAACTGTTTCTATAAATATAGATTATTCTAAAGAATGGACGGATGTCAAATTAAATATCACATAGCTTACAATTTATTTCATGTAACATGTGTTTTCTAGATATTATCAATCGTCTGATAATTTAAAACTAGCTCATAAGACCGTGAACGCTTATTGTTCAGACACACATTTGCATACACTGGTGTGAAAATAAGTAGGACCTACTAGATTTCCTAAGACTAGCAGATTGCTACATAGAAAATACAAAATGATCTGTTACGTCTCCATGATGCTGTTAATTAAACATGTTATTATCCCCTCACCTGAATTGATAACTTGAACTTTATTTTTCCAGGAGGGGCAGGCAGACAGGAGGCGCATGTAGCTTTGCTCGTCCTGTCATCGCTGAATATACTCTGGCTAGCGGAACTGCTGCGGAGATAAGTCACGTGGAGTTGTGGCGCCGTCCGCCAGGAGCGCTAGGCGACACACCGACTGACACAGTGTTGCCGTTGTGTGTACAGTGTTGCCAGACTGACTCGAGTCATATATCATATAGAGCAATAGGAACTGCAGTTTTGTATATGGACACGTTGTTGTGTAATATATAATCTAGGCTTGTTAAGTTTTGAACTGTTCAAAACAATATCATTTGTATACGTTGACAGCGGTGTACTCTTACGTATTCTCCTGCAGACAAGAGCTATGATTTTTGTTTCTATGATAAAACATTGTACTCTCACTAAAACATTGTAAACAAACATTGTAAAACATTGTTAAACATTGTAACTCTCACTATTTTCCTAATATGTTGAGGTAGTTTCGTATGATTTACCCAACATTTTTCGGGGTGGGGGGAATTCATTTATTCCGAGTATGAAATTCCTAGGCTTTTACCTTGGTCAGGTTCTATAAGTATCGCTTTACCACTATGTACAGGGAATAACAAACATGACATTATATTGATTTATAGGTCAAAATAAGAGATTCTTAGCAGTATGCAAAGGTGGTATTACAAATAATTTTCTCGTGTGATTTGTTTTTAATTTACCATGAACCTGTATCAAAACATGTTAATAAATTTTAAAACTTTTATTTACATACATGTAAACATTTTACAATTGACAAAGACAATTTGTATGAGCACTTTATATTAATATTTTGGTAAATATTGTTATCACTTAATGTTTCCACTAAATTGTGTAATAGTATATTTAAGTTTATTTTATTAAAACACTTACTAAACAGAGTTCGTCGTACGGGTAGTGAATATCAAACGGAGTCGTTTATGAAGAGTAAATAGTTAAGTAGGATTGAACTTAATAGTTATTCTAAGATACAAATAAACGCATATTTCATTACTTACACATCAAGATAAATTAGAAGCTCGTTTAGGTTTAAAATGAAATTTAAGTTTTTAATTTCTTATTTTTTGTAAAATTGATTTGGTTTTATTTCAATCTGTGAGATACATCTTGCAAAAAACTGAATGTTGACTCGTACGGTAGCTTAGAACTCACGGAAATAATCAATGCAGGGTTTTAGAGTTAAATAGTTCTAGTTTGAAATCTAAATATATTTTTAAATGGCATTCACATGTCACATGTAAATGTTTGTTGCTCCTGTTTCGTTCTAACAGCCACGTCATCCTTGCTCAATGTGAATAACTTATGGTTATATTGTGTGCAAAGCTAAGACCTTATATTGTGTATTCTACTGTTAAAATCAAATATGACAATGGATGTACATTGAATAAATATATAAATAACACCACAATTCGTCTATTTGTTACCGTTTTTGTTTGCTAAATTAGGAATTATTTACAGTAGGCTAAGTAGGCATATATAAATTTTTGTGATAATGCTATAACAGATAACCTTTTATAATAACGAAATAATACTTGTAATATTTGTTGCAAGGAAACAGAGGCACATGTTTCCACTTATAGTGGTTTACGCAACGATTGCGTAAAGATAAGAGTTGATGACACGAATAGAAAATTTAAAAACTTCTACGAGTGTTGTTAACACTATTTACACGAGTTGTGTACACTGATTTACCTACGACAGTGTTTTTTATTACTAAATATCACTATTCCGAACTTCTATGAGAGGTTATGTTTTCGTTTGTACCCTCTAATGGCCACTAACATGCAACGAAACATTGTACCAAACACTAATTGCACCACTCAACAATTAAATTGGCCTGAACAGCTGATTAGTTTAGTTTCGAATCATTACAATTTTACTTCTTCTCTCTCAATCCTTGAACCTCATTGGTCCGTTACCCGTGTTGTTATGAGTAACAATTACAAACAATTGTACTGAAATAGCACAACAAACGTTTTCTGAACCAGTTTCGTAGCTGTGATTAAGCTTGGACTGTGAAGGACAAGAATTTTCCAGCAGGAGGAGGGCGTTTGGGGTTTCCACGAAACGTAGGCATTTATATCTTGGATTAATACGTGTTATATGTAGGCCTACGTATGTGTGTTTTATGTAGGCCTACGTATGAGTGTTATATGTGCGTTTGTGTGTTTTCTATCGCAACTAAAGAGTTATAGATATGACCAGACAAAAATGTGAGTGAAACCCAAAAAATATAATTAATAATGAAAACAATAGGCCTACATAACTTAAGATGTAGTCGCCATTATTTTTTATAAACAATAATGAATGTTTTAACTGAGAAACCTCGCCTAAAATCGTTGTACTGTATTTCAATTGAGGAAATTACTCTGAATCCAAATTACCTTATTTTTGCGAGGGAATATTAATGACAAAATAAAAACTCCTAATCGTCCTAATCTATCTTAGTATAGTTGCCATTCAATATTTAAAATACTTTGATTTCTTTGCAGTTTAGATAGTACATAAAATAGTGTATTATATATTTTCATAATATGTTTACACAATGTGAACAGAAATAAGTCTAATTACACTCAAAACATATATTTACACTTATACAGTTAACTCACAAGATGGTAAAACATATGAAATATAAGTAGGGTTTTTAGATTGAACACTAATCGAAATCGATCACACCACTTACCGTCTTTTATATATATTCACCTTAGTCTTATGAGTTACAGTATAAGTGTAAATATGTGTTTATAGTGTTAATAGATGTATTTTGATTTAATTTCTATAAATTCAATAACACCTACAATTCTGATCAAGAAGTAACCAATGTATTTCAAATAATCAATGAGAAAATGACAAAAGCCAAGAGAAATGTTGCAATACGGAGCTCAACTGGGGAAAGTTACTCCCCGCTGTGGGTGACTTGAATGGTCTATCTACAGAAGTAATAAAATGCGTTCACCAACTTTGATTGCAATTTCATGTAGCAAAGGAAATATCAGTCATAGTGTTGGTCGTCAATCTTCATCAAATACGTTTATTTCATGTGTGAAATAATTTGCTTTAGTATAAGTTGGCGCTTTCACTAAAACAGCTATTGATTCTAAATTGGTTTGTTTCATTGTTTAGTTACTGATTAAATTTACCTGGTTTTTAATAAATCTTCAGTATTTATTCTACCACTATTCGAAATTTTTTTTTTACTTAAATAATTGCATCTCTCAAATCATTTTTTTTATTTAGTAGCTATATTTAATACAGAAAAGACTAGGGATATTCTAGGTAAAATATGAATAAAATATGGGTATAGGATGAGTACAAATATTCTGCTTTGTTTTATTATAATATAAACTAGTGTACACGTTGCTCGAATTCGAGCAATTGTAAAAATTACAGGAGTTATTTCAAAACGAATAACAGTCATATTTACAATGAGTTCAAAAGAGTCAACTCAAACATTACCGGTCGGTGTGTAACACAGACCATGTTTATCTTCGTTATTGATAAACCTAAAGCATTCAGGCCTGTTTTCTCCTTCTCAAAATGCCTCGCTGTACGATTACGTGCTCGTTCAGCGCAACAGGTCATTGATAGAGAGCCAATTGAGAACAAAAAGTCGTTTTGGGGTAGTGTTAGGGCGCATTTATAACTTAATAGTTGAGATTGTCCAGGGTCAGGTGCTGACTTGATGAGTTAAGCCTATTACGCGCCACTGTTCTGTAGCTACGGTCGTTATCACGATTACGCCTCCTGTCTATGTTTCGTTGTCGTCACGTCGTAGGCATTTAAAAGAAAAAAACATCAATTAAACACATTATAGCTACACAAAACAATGATAAATGCACAAATTTAAGATAAAACCATACTAACACGATCCGTCTTGGGGGTTATGTTTACACAAACTCAAATACTGTAGTATATTAAATGTACCCAATGCGTTTCATTGAATTAATTGAAAAATAAATAACAGCAATTAAATTATACAGCTGATCAAAATGTAAACAATTGTGTTTTCCATAAGGATAACATGGGATCTTTCAAAGCCAATGGGGCAGAGGCCAAGGGACTTTTTCAAAAATGTAAGGCCAGTTTGCAAATCTACGCGACCCGCTCTTTCCAATGAGACGTCGATAAATAAAATCGGTTTAGAAATGGCGGAGGAGTTCAACCGACAAAGTTTCATGTAGCGTATTAATTATATAGATAGTAGTACTTTGGTTTACGTTTAGCCTAGTGATTAGGGTCTCAGGCTTTGACGGGAAAGGTAAAGGTCTATTCCCTGGAAAATCCAAAACCACCTCAGCTATAAGGGCTTGAACCTATTTCCCTCAATACTGCTTGTCAAACATAATGCAACTGGCGTAGACAATGTTAGAACAGCTGAAAAAAATTACCGTAAACTTATTAAATAGGAACTGAGCAACAACTGTTACTAACAGAAACAGTCTGGGTGGTATTGTGGTTATACCACTAACCTTAAGGTTTAAAGCTTGCTGTTTCAATCCCAAATGAAGATTATTTTGGGACCAAATTCAATTCTTGATTGGGTATCAATTAATTATTCTAGCCAACAAAAAGACAAGTTACCTTCGCTTGGATGACTGTTGACTAACCATCATTTCTGTTATTTTCAGTCTGTCCAGGCACTTTTTGTCTCCATAAAGCCACACAGATAATCACGCAAGTCACGTGACTAACATCAGCTGATATCTGGGATGTTCATGGTTCGTTAGGTCCTTTGTTACTGTCTTCTTACAGAATTCCCAATGAGTGTTGGCGAAAGAATAAAGAAAACGATCTTTACAATCCATACAGGCAAGTTCCGGATTATTGCTGTAAGGAATAGTGGATAAGGTACTGTTAAATCAAAGTGTAATGCATTTCATATAAATACATTATAAAAGTTATTTTATACTTAATGTTCTTGTAAATTATTTAGCCTTACTGTGGGAAGATGTGAAAACTTTACCTTTTCAGATATATGTGATAGCCTGACCAGCTTATGAAAAATAAAGCGTATTTTCTTTTTTCTATGTACCAAACGATTAAATTAGTCAAAGCACTTCTACAAAACATTTAATTTCGATCAAGAATTATAGCCCTACTTATTTGTTTTCGTATTTATTTAGTAAATGTCTAGAAATCATTTGGATTTTAGGTTCTACTCAGAAGAGATTTGTGTATCGCAAATGTATTCATAGTGTTAAAGTATTTTATCCTTAAACATGTACAAATTTTTAATTTTTTTGTGTAAAAAATGTGAGAAGGTAAAACAAATCAATAAATACAGTATACAGTTCTTTAGGTGTAAGAAAGTTCTGTTTAAAAACTTTTTAGATAAATTTGACAACTTTTTGAACAGAGGAAC